CACCCTTCTTTTCAGAACCAAGCCAGCCAACCTCAGTTTCACCTGAAATGAAGCCTTCTTCTCTGTCATGTTCTCCACACACAGTTGAATGGCACGGTCATAATAATTTTGAGAGCAGTTTTCGCACTCCTGATGCTCTAGCATGGTCAGCTCCATCTCCTGTATTTTGTCTGAGTATGTGCCCATTGGGGAGACGTGCCCCCAGCCAGCCACACTGCATTTCTGTCCTGTTCTCACCCAGTCCTTGCCCCTGGAGAGGGAGGGGCTTCAGAGCTCTAGTCAACTTGATGTTCCTCTCTAGCTGATGGGAAGAGACAAGGCAGCCCAGGTCATCCATTAACCCCAGGGCCTGGACTCCATGATGGGCTGCACTGTCTTGCTTCCTCCCCCTGAGGCACTGGGATTGGTCAGGTGACCAGTATGAGAAAAAAGGAAGGGAGAGGTCCCAGTGGGAGGAGAAACAATCTGGACCCAGGAGAGCAAGAGCAGCTGGAGGTTTCCTTACCTGCAGTAACATGATGTCATTGGAGAAGTTCTTGAGGTTATAGTCTGGGTGGGGGATGGTTCTTGTCACCACACAGATCTGCTGGGTCTTCTCCTGTTCCAAGATGTTGTGCCCCGCTCCACTCGTGACCATGACTGAGCTGTACAGAGAGCAGAATGTGGGAGTGGGGGGTGGGGGATATAGCCCATGTGGTGTGAAAGGCAGGTGACAGCTGAGGTGGGTCAGGGCTGCAGTGGGGGAAACCGAGGCCACAGGAGGGCTAAGGGCTGAGTGACTTTGTCCTCTCTGCTCTCAAGGACACTGAGGGTAAGGCTTCTGGAAACTCTCTTGCCCTCATTCAGTGTCATGGCATTGCTTGAGTTTGCATTTTGGCCCTAATGCATCTACTACCCCTGCTTGATTTGGCCAGTGTGCTCCTTGCCTTCTCAACTGTGCCACTTATTCTCACCTCCGACCCTCTGAACCCAGCTTACCTGTCCTATTGCTGAGGTTTTCTTCGCCTGGTCACTCCCTCAGACTCTTCCTCTGATGAGCTTTTGTGGGTTTGAATTACCAGGAGCCCGAGGAGCTCACCTGAGCTGCAGCCACTGGGGAAATAACAAGGGTCCCAGCAGGTGTTCCTGGGAGGTAGACTGGCTGCTGCTCCTCACCTTCCACTGCAGTGAGCAGCTGTCAGAACAAAGTTCTCCTGCACAAGGACACCGCCGCACCTCTTCTTTCCCTTATCCAGGAACCGAATGTAGGCCATGCAGGGGTGGGATTGGGGTTTGGCCTCATGTCCTCCGATGATTTCCTCTGAAGGAAAAGGCTGGAAGGTGGGTGACTGGGAGCGGCTGTGGTAGGAGGGAAGGCTGAGGGAGGCGATGATTGAGGTGTGCCCTGAAGACAATGAGGGAGGGTCTGTCAGGTTCTCTTTCAGCAGAATCACCTTCTCTGAACCTCAAACCTTCGAATCCCCCTTGAAGAAGGGGACGGGCCAGTGCTTGTTCTCCAAGTCATATGTAGACACATGAATAGAGGAGGTAAAACATATCTTGAAGATGGTGGAGCTCCAGGTAATGTGGACAGGATGCAGTGAGCCTCTCTGATCACTCCAAACCCCTGGTAAAACCCAAATTGGTGCTGTTTTCTAATAATCTAAAATGAGCTGTGGAGTAGGAAGTTCAAATCCTCCTGTCCCACGGCATAGCACATCTAGGTTCTCAGTAGGCCTTTATTTTTACTGCATTAATATATGGTCTCCTATTAGCTTCTGGATGAGGATTGGTGGGGACAAGGCTGGTGGGATTCAAAGGCACAGGGATGGGAAGAGGGCCCTGCCAAAAGCAGTGGAGAGGCCAAGGGCCTGAGAAATCAGGGGAGTGTGGGGATGCAAATGGTTGCCCAGGCCTGGGGCAGAGCCAAGACACCCATTAAAATTTGTGTGCAGTCGTCTAGCCAGTGCTGAGATCGCTTGCACCCTGGGCTTCTCTCCTGGGAGGACAGGAGGGTGGAGGGCACTGAGAATTAAACTGGTTCTTAAGCTGGTCCAAGACAACTCTCACTACTGCACATGGTTTGTCTGAGAGGCCCAATCTGGGTTGGAGTGAAGGATTTTAACTACATGACTGTTGTAGCTTCAAATCCTTTTCCAAATGCCTTTCCATGAACAACCTCCTTTCCAGGTGATGAGAGAGAGGCTGAGACCTTATAGTTTAATGCTTCTTCCCGGCCATCCTTGTTGAGTAGCTATCTACATGGGACTTATTGGTCTGGAGTTGGGTTGGAAGCTGGTGTTCAGAAAGCTCCTGGGTTCAAATGGAGGACAATCCCTGCTTGGGTTCGATTAAAAGGCCAGGAGTAGAAGGGGTTTTAGGAGACGGGCTCAGGCCCCAGGAATGGGATGGTCACTCACCCCTCCCAGCCCCAGCGGGCAGAAGAAAGGCCAACAAGAGCAGGAGTGGATGCATCTGCCTATGTCAGAGCTGCTGGTGTGTCTTCTTTCCAGACACATAGACCCTGAAGGGATCACAGGAAGTATTGCTCACTGACACACACACCTCCTGAACACGTGTTCCTTTACTTTTCCTGGATTTCATCATACAAGGTGGTTTGTGGAAGTTCCCTGGTTTGGTTAGGTGAGAATGGCA